TCAGAAGTGGTCTCAAAGGATGAGTAAGAGTGACAGGCAGAGTATGAGAGCAGGGGTGAGGGAAGGAGGAGGACATTCCAGGCGGTGAGAACAACCTACACCAGCGATTCTCAAGTGGGGACAACGCTGCATCCTCCCCCAGGGGACACTTGGCAATATCTGGAAACATTTTCAGTCGTCATAAACGGGAGGGAAGTGGTGCTACTTGGCATCTGGCGGGTAAAGCCCAGGGGTGCTGCTAAACATCCTTCAATGCACAGGACAGCCCCCCAAAGAATTACCTGAGCCCTGAAATCAGTGGTGTGGAGTTGAGAAGCCCTGGTATAAGCAGGACTGTGATAACAGACAGGTGTTAGGTTAAAAGAAGGTGCCTGCAGCTTCCGCAAACAGTTTCAGATGACTGCTTTTATGGAAGAGAAAACCTGGTTAAAAAAAAAAAAAAAGAAGAAGAAGGGAGGAAAAATTAAATTCCCAAGGAGCCGAGATACGAGGCTAAGATGCCTTGTGCTCAAAACAGCTACCATCATCAACAAAGTTAGGAAAGCGGACCCCTGGAAGGCTATCGTGTATTTCACCGCCCTGTGAAGTGAAAAGCACATCTCTCTGGGATGCTGTCGTCGGCCTGAGGATCAGCCCTGAGCAGCAGCTTGCATTTTCCCTTTTACACACACACACATGGCTGAGCGGGGTAGCACAGTGAGGACCAGATGCCCCATGCAGCTCGTGATCCTCAGCCGGAGAGAGGGCACAGGGCTGCTGTTAGTGCTAAAAAAACTCAAGTACAGGAATGGCCCAGCAAGGAGAAAAGGAACCAGCCAAAGGGCTCCAGGTCCCAAAAGGAAGTGGCTGCGAAGAAAGCAGAATATGGTGGGGATACTGTGGCCAGTGCTGCAAGCGGTCAGGTCGTCAGGGTTCTTGGCAGGAACTAGGCCTGACCACAGAGGCAGGAGGTGTCTGCGCAGGAATCTTCCTCCTGGGCACAGATCCTTGAAAAATGCAGCAAGGAACTGACCACTGCCTCCAAAACCACCAGCACCTCCACCTCCACCAAAAAGGAAAAAGAAATAAATAGAAAAGATTCCCCCGCCCAGCAAAGGACTTCTAGGACAGAAAGAAAGCAACCTTCAAAATACTAGCAGTTTCTGGTAAAAGAGTAAGAAATATAAGTTGAAACTCCTTCACAGAGAGACAAACTCACACTCATCCACATCACCCCTTAAATCTTGCCTCGTCTGATTCACACACTTACGTCAACTTTTGAAAATAATAACAGCATGGGGAAAGTTACATCAATTGTAACAGCCGTCTAAAAGCCAAGTTTTAGGGGCGCCAGGGTGGCTCAGTTGGTTAAGTGTACAACTTCAGCTCAGGTCATGATCTCACGGTTTGTGAGTCTGAGACCGGTGTCGGGCTCTGTGTTGACAGCTCGGAGTCGGGAGCCTGCTTGGGATTCCGTGTCTCCCTCTCTCTCTGCCCCTCCCCCACTTGTGCTCTGTCTCTCTCTGTCTCTCAAAAATAAATAAATGTTAAAAAACAATTTAATAAAAAACATAAAAATCAAGTTTTAGCTCCGAGAGGGGAAGAAAGGCCAGCAGAGTAGCAGAATGAAAAGATAATTCCAAATGAAGGATGTCATAAAAGCATTAAAGAAGTAACATTTTCCCTCTCTTTTCTCTCTCTCTGCAAGAAAACTGCTGTCACCAGGAATGTGTTATGTGCCCAGCATTATTATGCTGGGTGCTGCTGTCAGGAAAACGAAAATCCAATTGAGACTGGATGCCCCAACCCCCTGAAACAGCTACAATGTTACAGACAACAAAGGAAGAGGGCCTTGCAGAAGAGCCAGGTGCAGGGAGCAAGAGAAGGAGCCACACGGGTCATGATCTCGTGGTTCGTGGGTTCAAGCCCCACATCAGGCTCTGTGCTGACAGCTCAGATCCTGGAGCCTGCTTCAGATTCTGTGTCTCCCTCTCTCTCTGACCCTCCCCTGCTCAAGCTCTGTCTGTCTGTCTCTCTCTCTCTCAGAAATAAATAAAAAACATTTAAAATTTTTTAAAAAATAAAAAGAGAAGGAGCCACAGCGTGGGAAAGGCAGAACGATCGGGCTCAGGCACCTACATCCTCTTAAAGATGAAATACTCATATTTTGCCCATATACAACCACAAACTACACCGGGTACGGCCCAACCACCCGTGTTGCAAGAGATGAAAACACTTCAATGTCACATAAGAGCACCTCGACCTGCAGTGTTTCTAGCTGCCTTTTGCAAAGTGAAGCAAATGTCCAAGGGTCACAACAGCATGAGCCCAGTAGTTCATACAGCTAAACCCTAAACTAGCCTGCAGGGATATCAGGGTGATAGGAAATCCCAACTATCAGAGAGGGGGCTGTTTTCCACCTGGGTATCAGGATTTACAACTGAAGAGGAGGGCAAGGGTACTGCTACTACCCTTTGCCAAGACTGTGTTTATGGCTACCGAGAACCAACCACTCCCAACTTAGAAGTAAACCATGAAAAATCACTGAACCTCACATTGACAACTGCAGCCAATTCTCAGAGCCGTCAGGTATACACACAGATGAGACACATACAGATACGTGCGCATGTCTGAACAGCCAGGACCTTGACTGACTTGGTGACTGAGGGTGAAGCCAGCCCTATTATAGCTCTAATGAGCTTGCTGATTCCTCCCACATCCCCAACACCAACTCCTTCCCCTCCAGACAACTTAGTTTATTCACTACCACCAAACAGAACCACCTTTCAAGCCTTCACTCCTCTACTCACGCCACCGTATCCACTTGGAATGTTCTCCATCTAGACCATTCTTACCCATCCTTTGCAACTCATCAGAACTTCTCTATGTTGTGTTTCTGAGCCAACCTAAAGTACCTCTCCCTCTTCTGAACTCAAGAACAATTCATTTGTACAATTTCTTGGCCAAGAATCACTGACCTCTATAAAGCCTAACTCTTCTGCTGGTTTCTTGGCTTTTTATTTCAGTCAATAGAAATTTCCACTTTTCTCCCTGTTTTCACTGACATGTCACCTCTTTGAGGACGGGTAAGGATATATCTTACAGTTTTGTGGTACCTCCAACCCTACCTCCCAAAGTGCTTTGCACAATGTGGAATTAAATTGCAAGGTTAAGTTAGGCTCACTTTAAATTTTTTTTTTAATGTTTATTTATTTTGGAGAGAGAGAGACAGGGGCAGAGAGGGGCAGGGAGACACAGGATCTGAAGCAGGCATCAGGCTCTGAGCTGTAAGCACAGAGCCTGCAACGGGACTTGACGCCATCGACTGCGAGATCATGACCTGAGCCCAAGTCCAACAATTAACCGATTGAACCACCCAGGCGCCCCCAAGTTAGGCTCATTTTCATAATGTTCCTTAAGATTCCAGCCCGGTGCTTACTTTGCAACCAATGATATGTAAAAGCAGAAAAGAACATAAGTGCTGAAAAATCGTGAAGATCCCCATTGTTTTATACATTAGGAAACTCAGACGCACAGACTGGCTCAAGGCCAGTTTGTTGTAGGCAGGTGTGGAACTCAGATCTGTGCCCCTGTTCCATACTCTGGGAAGCCTGGCCAAGAGCAGATGAAAACCCTATGGGGTTTGCAATTCCAAAGATTAGAAAACATTTTTTAAATTCTTAAATTAAAGTTAACAGGAGGTAATGAATACTGAGAAGCAGGGTTAGTTAAGCACTCAAACCTAGATCATGATTTTTACTTTATATGCTTACGGAGTGATAGCTATAAACCTTACAAGAAATGAAGCTAAAACTACCAGGAAACACCTCCTCCTCCTCCCCCCCCTCGCCCCCCAGGAAAAGACTCAGTTATTTTCAAACTCCATTTACTGTAACGTCTAACAAAATAAAGTCAAAGCTACTTAAACTTTTTTTAAATGTTTATTTCTTTTTTGAAAGAAAGCGGGGGCGGAGAGAGAATCCCAAGCAGGCTCAGTGCTGTCAGCGGCAAAGCCCCACCCATGGCTCCAGCGCAGGAACCACGAGATCATGACCTGAGCTGAAATCGAGAGCCCGAAGCTTAACTGACTGAGCCACCCAGGCGCCCTGCAAAACTGCTTTCAAGTTCTGTTTACATATTACTCTATCAAGAGTGAAATAATCACATGTAGAAGAGTTTTTAAAATAAATTCGTCTTGGAAGCCCATTTCGGGCGTTGAGTTGTGACTACATTCTCAAGGATGTCGGTAACACAAGGGCTCCATCCATAACTCCTTGAAAAAAACTGAAACCATGAATGCCTTGTCAAATTCAGACAGTTTATCTTGGCACTGGCAAGCAGAGCCGTCTCTTCGATGTCTGGAAACGTGTCTAATTACGTTTAGGAGAGTAACTAAAAAATAGCCAGTGTCCCGGAACGGACAGCTCAGGGATCACTCCATCGCATCCTGAATGACATGATGGAGCCACGCCAGAAAATAAATAAATAAATAAATAATTAAGGAGAAAAAGAAACGAACCAAGCGTGAAACCAGGATGAGACCCAAGTCTCTCTCCAGAACAACCCTCCAGTCTCCCCAGGGCCTTCGTGGCCGTCACAACTCTCTCTAAAGTTCGTATTTTCCTTTACCTTTGTTTCCATTAGGTCACCCGGCCCGCCCACATCACTTACCTAGGGCTGCGCGCTGGCCGGCCCTGCCCCAAGCGCTGCCTGGCAGCCGGCACACCACTCGCACCCCTCCCCCCCGCGTCCGGACGGCACCCAGGACACCGGTCTCCCGAGGGCGCAGCCCCGGGGTGCGACATGCCTCTTACACTCCACGGCGACCACACCCCGGGGCGTCCTCTCTCGGGAAGGCGCGACCACCGAGCTCCGCAGCCCCCCAGACACCCCAATCCTGCCGCACTTCTTCTCTCGAGCTCGGCGCGCCCCTGACACCCCCATTCCCGCCGCACCGCAACGGCGCCCCCTCTCGGGAGAGCGCAGGCTCGCGCCCGGGCGCACGGCCGCTCTGCCCTCACCTGAGCCGGAGGTTGGCCATGAACTCGGGCATGGAGACGGTGTCCATCAGTACGAAGTCAGCCTTTCCGAACTCCAGGCTCTCTTGCTCCGCCATGGCGCCGGCGTACGGGCTCAGGTGGGCGCGGACGGACTCAGGTGGGCGCGCTCGGGCCGCGGGGGACCGGCGGCGGCGGCGGCGGGGGGCGCGAGGCGAGCTCGGGCGGGGTTGGGGCGGGGCCACGGCGCCCGGCGCGGGGCTGCGGGGGAGGGGGCGCCGCGCGCCGCTCAACTGGGCCGGGCCGGACGGAGGCCGCCCCGCTGCTCCTAGGCGCGCTCTCGGCCGGCGCGGCGCACCCGGCAGTTTCCGCTTCTCCCGCGGCGGCTGCCCGGAGCTGTGGGGGGACGGGACACCGAAACGGAGACGGCGGCGGCTGGTCCCGCCTCTGGCTTGGTCGAGCCCCGGCCCCGCCCCGCCCCGGCCAGGCCTCTCCGGCTCCGCCCCGTCCCGCCCCGCCGGCCGAGCAGCCCGCCCCTGCCGCGGCCCAGGCCGCCGCCTCCTCACCTGGGCGGCGCGCACGGGCGCGCGCCGGGCTGGGCCTGGGCGGCGGGGCGGCAGCGCCCCCTGGGGACGAGCGCTGGGATCTCGCGGGGCGGAGGGAGGATGCGCGGTGCGGAGAACGGCGGACGTAGGCGAGTGGGTGGAATCAGATTTCCAGAATTGCCTGCTCCGCGGTCATTGATGACTGCCAACTGAGTTCCAGAAGCAGCTCGTGGAGCTTTTTGCGAGGATAATTCCTATGGCTGATTCTGTCACCTTGCGGCGAAGCCTCCTCCTCCTGTGTTCACATGTTCTCCATCACTGAAATGATGGTTCGCTCACAGACTGAGAGATGGTAATAATAGCTAACTTCCGGGGGACACTTAAAATGCCAAGAGCTTTTCTAAGCGCCTTGGAGAATTCAAGTAACCTGCTACACCGCTAGGAAGTGAAGAAGCCGCAGTTTCATCTAGGTCACTCAAGTTATGAGCCACATAGCAGAATGCTTTCCTTCTTCAGTGTTCTGTGCTCCAGCTTTCTGTTCCACTGATCTGAACATGGCATCGAATATTACATTATATTATTAGTAAGTCTTTAATGTATGTTGCATCATCTCTCTAGGATTATTGTAGGCTTCTTGAGCATAGGGACATGTCCTAAATTTCTTCATATCCCCGCTGGCAACCAACAAGTAGCTATTGTACGGCCCTCCCTACGTCGATATGAAATCCGCACTGGTTCAATAGAGTGGAATGCGTTGTACGTGGCTCCAACTTATAGATACATTGGTTGAGCTTGGGAAATTTTTTTGGAACTTAGACTACATTTTCTGGATGAAAATATATTATACATGACTTACTAAGGCAGCTGCACCTCTTCAAGCCTTGTGTTTCAGTTAAGACCATCTTCTAGGAAATCTGCTAGGAAATCTAGGGGCTCCCAAGGACCTGGCTGGGCTCCAACTCCACGGCTGAATTTGAGAGGAGTAAACCAGAGGGAAAGACCCTGCTCAGGGCTTGCTTCAGTTGCCAACAACCCACTCTAGCCAAGAGAGAGGGGAAAGCAGCTTGATCACCTCCGGAGGGAGCCACCTCTGTCTGCCATCAGAAAGCCACCTCAGGAGCACCTGGGTGGCTCCGTTGGTTGAGTGTGGGACTCTTGATTTTGGCTCGGGTCATGATCTCATAGTTGGTGACATGGAGCCCCAGTCTGGCTCCAAGCTGACAGCAAGGAGCCTGTTTGGGATTCTCCATCTGCCCCTCCCCCATGCATGCACACATTCTCTCTCTCTCAAAATAAATAAACTTAAAAAAAAAGAAAAGAAAAAAATCACCCCAACCCCTGGCTCAGGCAGAGCTTGGTTGCAGTCTACCATTAATATCTTAAATTTTGTGAAATTTGGAGCAATCAAGGGAGCACACTCAGTGACCCATCGGGAAGGGATGTGCGTGTATTTCCTGAGCCCTGGGTTGCCCTGGGTTGTTAGGGCAAAAGTAATCCTACAGTAGGTAGGATCTACCATGGGATATAGCTGTGGTTCTCAAATGGCCAAAGCAAAGGAACCCTTGTTTTGTATCAATATCTTGGACAGTAGCCCAACATACAACATGTGTATACAACATATGCAAAATGTATTTTATAAATGTATAAACCCAAATTAATATAAAATCAGGCATTGAGACCAGTAAGGCTCTTTTGAGGAACCCATATCTGCCCATTGGGGGTCCCTATCACCTTAAATCAGCTTTGGGATTCCACTTTACTTTTGAACACTGTTTTGGTTGTACAGTATCAAGGAAATCCTGATTTACCTGGGGAAGCAGTTATTTGTTACTCATAGAGTTTTACATTCAGCCTTTATAAAGGCCAACGCGAGGCACCTATGTGGCTCAGTCGGTTAAGCGTCTGACTTCAGCTCAGGTCATGATCTCACAGTTCGTGGGTTCAAGCCCCATGTTGGGCTCTGTGCTGATGGCTCAGAGCCTGCTTCAGTTTCTGTCTTCCTCTCTCTCTGCCCCTCCCCTGCTCACACTCTGTCTCTCTCTCTCAAAAATAAATAAACATTAAAAAATAAAGGCCAATGCACAGCTACAATCTTATTAATCAATGACACATTTACAAGAAGTTTCAATATACACAGAGACAGCAGGAGAACGAAACGAAACACTACAATTTGCATTCAAAGAAGATAATATAAGGCAGGTTCTCTCATTATTAATCTCCTTAGTGATAACGTTTAGATATAAACACATTTGGATATGTATGTTTGTGTTACAGCTTAAGATATACTAAAAGCCAATGGGCACCTGGGTGGCTCAGTCCGTTAAGTGTCTGACTCTAGATTTTGGCTTGGGTCATGATCTCACAGAGTGCAAGCCCTGTGTCCAGCTCTGTGGAGCCTGCTTGGGATTCTCCTTCTCTCCCTATCTGCCCCTCTCCCACTCATGCTGTGTGTTTCTCTCCCTCTCTCTCTCAAAATAAATAAATTAACTTTAAAAAGGGGGTAGTACTTGGGTGACTCAGTAGGTTGGGTATCTGGCTTCAGCTCAGGTCATAATCTTGCAGTTTGTGAGTTCAAGCCCCACATCAGGCTCTCTGCTGTCAGCGCGCAGCCCACTTCAGATCCTCTGTCTCCCTCACTCTCTGCCCCTCCTCCACTCTGTCTCTCTCTCAAAAACAATAAACATTTTTTAAAAATATTAAAAATAAAAATAAATTAAAACATATACTAAAAGCCAAATAAAAGTTAAAATCACCAATAATGAGACACACTGACGTCATGAGTGACATGATGAGTTGTATCATCTCCTTAGAAAGACATAATAATATCACTTCCTTGCTAAAAATGCATCCACTGCATCTAATCATGAAGAAACACCAAATAAACCCACATTCAGGGGCATTCTAGAAAAAAACAATCTGTGCTCTTGAAAAATATCAATGGCTTGAAAGACAAAAAAAGGCCTGAGGGGCTGGCCCAGGTTAGAGGCCCCTAAAGACACACGACAACTAAAGGCAGTATGTGACCTGGACTTTGACCAGAACAATGTAAAGGACATTGTTGGGACAATCCGTGAAATTTGAATATAGACTATAAATTAAATAGTAACATAGCATTACTATTAGTTTTCCTGAATTTGATCATTATATTGTGGTTCTGTAAGAGAATGTCCTTATTCTCAGGAGATGGGGTCCAAGTATTTAGGGGTAAAGTGTAGGATGTGTCAAATTGTTTGGCAAAGAATAATAATAATAATAATAATACATGTGGATATGTATACATATGTATAGAGATACAAATGGATAAAGCAAATGTAACAAAACATTAATAATTGGTGAATATAAAGAATGTGTGGGAGGAGCACCTGGGTGGCTCAGTCAGTTAGGCATCTGACTTCGGCTCAAGTCATGATCTTGTGGCCCGTGAGTTCAAGCCCCACATCAGGCTCTGTGCTGACAGCTCAGAGCCTGGAGCCTGTTTCAGATTCTGTGCCTCCCTCTCTCTCTGACCCTCCCCTGTTCATGCTGTCTCTCTCTCTCTCTAAAAAATAAATAAAACATTAATAAAATTTTTCTAAAAAAGAAAGAAATTTGCAGATGTTCCACGACTGAAAAACCCACACACACTTTGAAAACTCTGGTGACGATTATCTGTAAGCTCTGGTTGCCACAGATATACTAAGAGATTATAGATACTGAACAGACCATTTGAAAATCCAAAATATAATTTAAATATTTTATCTTTTCAATATATGTTTATAATTTAAATAATTGAATATGTAAATGTTGTCAAATATGCCCCAGGGAGGGTACTACCTGTTCTCTGCCTGAAATCCCTTTCCCTGTTGTCTCACTACTCACCCCCTATGGTCTGCTTATCTCTTACCTCTCAGCCCCAGCATCACTTCCTCCAGGAAGGCTCCCCTGATTTCCTAAGTCAGGGTTGGCTGTCCCTCCTCTGTGCCCCCACAGCACCCCAGAAGTGTCACTCCCATTGCAGCATTGAATACACTCGAGCCTCTTGTGCATCTCTCATGAGAGAGAAGGCCATGAGGGCTGGGGGCCATGTCCCATTCTTGGATGTAACTGTGGCCCCTGGTAGCACAGTTCCTCAGGTGTGAAAGCTCTTAATACACACTTGCTTGTAAATGAATGTGGAATGATCTGTGAATCTATGGGTTCTGCAGTGTGAGGTTGTCAGTCCCGCCCACCCCCGACTTAGTAGACTTTCTGCATTAAAACCAGACTTTGTGCAGTGTTTATCTTATTCTCATCTTCTGCACCTAGAAGCAGGTCTCAGGGCTGTGTTTACTTCTCTCCTGGGGCCAAGCCTGTGCACTCTGTGTTCACATTAAACAAAGGCTATTGTTCCCCCAGCCCCTCTGTAGTTGACACCTGTTACTGGGTTATCCTTGAAAATCAACTCTGAATTTTCCAAAGCAAATATTTGCTCCCGTTCTCTCCCAGAATGCCTCTGGGCTGCCCCACCTCCCTTTCCTCTGTTTACCAGATGCCCTGCGTTTAGGAAGACACCTCACCCCAGCAGGAATCCTGTAAGACAGAAGTAAGAAGGCCAGGAAAAACATAACTTATTCAAAGGGTCCTGTATACATTTATTTTATAAGCCCAAATTATCCGAGAGCCGAAGTAGAAGGGCAAATTTATGTTGCAAAATAACTTGGTGATGTACTCACATCTATATAGAAATTATGTGGAACTCTCTGCCTGACATATTATCCAAAACATGCTTCCTCCTGTTCATGCTGAAGACTGGATTTGAACTATGAATGGTACATCAAAGGCAGCATGTCTGCTCTCTGTGGTTTCTGAAACCTAAGTATTTTTAAAGTAAAAGCAGACCCAACAGTGGCATCCCT